TTTAAGGAATTTACAAATGAAGAATTGAAATTGTTAAAAACCATTAAAAAGAAAATCAAAAAAGTAGAATTTAATTCAAAAAAACAATCTACATTAGATAGTTTTTTGAACATTAATATTGAATAATTATTTTTTTATAATCATAATAATAATAATAATAAATTTTTTTTTATTCGTTAACTTAATCATGTGACAATCAACAAAATTCTCTATACCGGATTCTCTCTATAACGGATCTTTTTTCCCCAGACAAATGATCCGTTATAGAGAGAGTGAACTGTATAATATACATTATTTTATAATCCAGTTTTGTTTTTCTTTGAGAATTGACATCTTTGAAATAATGAAAAAAAATAGTTGTTTTAATAATAGTTTATATATGTGTGTGTAAATACACTACCTGGACAAAAGTATAGGGACACCTGCAGATCATCACAAATAATTGAATAAAGTGACATGACAAAAACTAAAAATTTTACTATCCCAATCACACTAGCATGGTGGAAATTTGTTTTTGATCGACATTCGCAATTATCACATATATGTGTTACATTAAATTTATATTAATATAAGAAAATAATTTCCGCGTAATTCTGTTAAAATCAAAACAAAGATTATTGGTTTCTTTTCATTTTTCTTATATATATATAGTCTTTCTTTTTAAAAAAAGATTTGGTTCCTGTTCTATATATAACTCTTTATTATTATTATTATGTCAATGAAATTTTTAATAGTCTTTATTGATTTAATTGAATACAAAAAGTTCTTTATCATTGTATATACAAAGAAAAGGATTATTTAAAAATTTTTTTTTTTAAATAAATAAAGAATATATAAATAAATAAAAAAGTTTTTAAATTCAAAATAAAATAAAAAATATAAATTTTACTTGTAAAAAATATCAAATATCAAAACTAACCCACTCTATTTTCTTATTTCAAAATCAGTCATGCCAAAACCAAAAAACCAAGGCCCATGCATTATTTCTGGTTGTGATAAACCTGCTCCTTATAGAAAATTACAAATTGGAACAATGGATAAAATTAGAAAGAAAGATTTAGAAAATAAATATTATTTTTTGGAAGAAGGTGACCAGCTTTGTTATAGTCATTATATGAAAATTGTTGAGCCAGACAGACATGATAAACATAAAAATGATCAAATGAAAAGAAAATCCAGTGAATCATTAGATGTTGATTACTCAAAAAATCTTCAAACAAAATCTAATGATTCATATAATGAATCTTCATCTAACCAATCTGATGATACTTCTTCAGACAACCTGTCAATTAATATGGTTGATAATCAGTTAGACTGGTCTAAAATTAAAATTAATTTAACTGGAAGTAATGTTACCATGTCAAAAGAAGATTTTTTATCAATAGTTGAACATATAGATAAAATAGAACTTCAACCTGACAATAATTTATATTGTGTGGAAGATAATGAAGAACCTGGCTTTGATGCAATAAATAATGAAATTGATGATGGTAATTTATTTCTTATTATATTAAAATTAATTTTATTAATTTATAAATATTAAATTAATTCATTTATTTATTAAATAGATAATAATCTTCTTACCTTTGCATCAAAGATTCAATTTTTAAGTGATGTCCTTTCTGATCAACAAAGAAAATTTAAAAACAAGATTGAATTAGACCCAGATAAATTTTCTGAAATAATAGAAAAACAAGATGAAAGACTAAAAGGATTTTTTGAAGAAATGGTCGATGCAATTATTCCAAAAAGAAGAAAAGAAAAAAATATAGAAAATGCCAAAAAATCAGTTGTTACCTTTTGCTATTTCTTGGCAGGTTTACGTAGTAAACGTACTAACTCATTAAAACTTGATCTTGGACTATATCTTGTTGGATCAGGAACAAGCAGTTCTGCAGTTGATATGCTATCAAGGATTGGTATCACAACATCCTATAAAACAATTGATAATTATAAGAAAAATCTTGCAAGAACTCACCCAAAGAAAATTAATGAATATTTTAATGAAAATGTAAGTAATTCTTGAGAATTTATAATATTTTACAATATCATATAATTATTAATAATACATACATATTATTTAGATGAATTCTTTATTTTGTTTTAACATTGATGATTATCACTCTATCCATGGATGGAGAAGACCAAATACAACCACTCTTTCCACAGCAAATCATATGGCGACCTCTGTTTCTAAAAAAATAGAACAATGTAAAAAAGTTCCTGTGATATATAATCAAATTCATATCCATAATCCTAAAAATATTGAGGCAGATAGAATTAAATTACATTTAATGGATGAATTTAAAGGAATATTTGAAGTTAGTTATAATATGCGTAAAAAAAAATGGATTAGTCAAAATGCTTCAATCAATGAAACAAATAGAATTGAACTCCTTACTGTGCATTTTTATGATGCTTTAATCTTAGAAAAATATCATGATAGATCAATGAAAGGAGTTCGTATTATCAATCTACAACAAAAAAATCTACACTCTTTGAATGATTATCTTGAAGTTCTTCAAACATTAACTAAAATTGAAAGTATTTCAATATATTTGCAAAATAATATAATCCCTATTGTTGCTGATTGGCCTGGACAGCTATTTTTAAGAAAAATAATAACAAAAATTAGTCAACAGGAACAACAACAAAATCTTAATACTGAATACAAAGTTTTTAAAAATTTTGTACCATTAATCGGACCTTTACACATATCATTAAATTCAAGAGAGCATATAATAATATTGCATTGGGAGTTCTTCAATAAGTTATTTCATTATGTTTTTGGATCAAGAAAAGTGTTGGCAAAAAAACCAAAGCCTTGGAGAATTAATCTTTTGCTAGATCTTGCAAGTAGAGGTTGGAAAAAAATCTCTCACATGATATTAAATAAATTTCCCAAAAATTGCAAAGATATTGAATATAGAATGATGATAGACCTTCTAGATAATATCATACCTTCAACTTTAGACATATATGCAATATTATTTAGGTCAGGTTCTTTTGAAGAATACTTGGAAACTGTATTTCGTATCTGGACCTTTGCATTGAGGTGGAGAAGAAAAAACTATAACAAAGCTCCTTTGGCATTTTTATCTGATTATTATTATTGGAAAGATAAAAATCATCCTTTTAATGAAACAATAAAGTTATATTTAGCTAATTTTAATGATTATTATGTTGAAAACATACATAGTAAAATAAGAAACAATACAACCTCATTACATACTCCAGAAGCCATAATCAACCAAGCATACTTACTTGACCTTCATGATCAAACAACAATAAAAGCATTCAAAAATGAACGTACATATCCATATACAGAACCAGTGCTGGAGGAGTTAACAATAAGAACTAGCTTGTTCTTGTTAAATTATTTCCATTCAATTTATTTAAATCTTGGAAAAAGTAAATTAGAAAATGAAGAGAAAAAAACCTACAAATTAGCAACTCTAGATAAAATTGTGGATACAAAACTTCTCCCAGCAGGTTACAACACATCATATCCCCCAAGTATTAACTTATGCGATCACTGCAAAGGTTTATTATCAACTTCCACAAATAATGATGAAGTTGTGCTAATATGTGGTCATGGATACCATGTGAATTGCTATAATGAATTAGAAAAACGATGTAGATATTGTGAAGAATATTATAAGAAGGGTATAGATAGTAATGTAAAATCATTCAATAAGAGACTTGAAAAAGGACCTGACATTCTAACCAATGATGATTATGATGAAGTTGAAGAAGAGGAAGTAGATGACAATGATGATACCAACACTCCTGTAAATAGTTTAAACATAGATTTGGATAGAGAGCTTAATTTAGTAAATGATTGGTAAATTTTCAACCTATTAATTAATAATATACTTACACGTTGATGTATAAAATTCCTATAATTCATGTAAATATTTATTTTTTGAATATGTATTTTTATTTTAATGATAATTATTCAACTACAGTTCATTCATCATAGAGACAGTATTAGTATATGAGACATATGTTATAGCATGAAAACCATTATAGAAAAGGCTGTTATAGAGAGAGTGAACTGTATTCAATAAATATTTTGTTTATAGGTAAAAATGCCTTGAACTATGATTCGTTAAAATGTCTTTTTTCACCTTTTTTCACTCTTCATCTAATTCATGCATCAAATTGTTCCAAATTGATCAGGGAGTGGAAAAGGAGAGAAAATAGGTTAAAATATATAAAACGATTATTTGTTTTTTTTTTAAAATGTAAAAACGTACAATGATAAACATAAAAATGATCAAATGAAAAGAAAATCCAGTGAATCATTAGATGTTGATTACTCAAAAAATCTTCAAACAAAATCTAATGATTCATATAATGAATCTTCATCTAACCAATCTGATGATACTTCTTCAGACAACCTGTCAATTAATATGGTTGATAATCAGTTAGACTGGTCTAAAATTAAAATTAATTTAACTGGAAGTAATGTTACCATGTCAAAAGAAGATTTTTTATCAATAGTTGAACATATAGATAAAATAGAACTTCAACCTGACAATAATTTATATTGTGTGGAAGATAATGAAGAACCTGGCTTTGATGCAATAAATAATGAAATTGATGATGGTAATTTATTTCTTATTATATTAAAATTAATTTTATTAATTTATAAATATTAAATTAATTCATTTATTTATTAAATAGATAATAATCTTACCTTTGCATCAAAGATTCAATTTTTAATTTGTAATACGTGACTCAAGTAGTGAAATTTGCCGATCATCATTAAATTTTCTGGTGATAATAAATATTAGTATTTTTGAAAAATTTGAGAATCTCACTTTTCTTAGTAGAAGTAAAGATTATCCTGTTTCTCTAATTTCAGTTGGCTCTTTAAAAGAGAATTTACATTTTGTGACTTTTCTCAAAATTGGTGGGAAACTAGACAAAGCAATAATTCAAATGATATTGACAATATTTCTATTTTATATCCTATTCGTATTGGCATGGAAACAATGGTTATTCTTAATGAGACACGATTTTTTATTACTGTAGTTCAAGGCTGTGAAGGCTCATTATACCAACCTGGATATATATGTGAAGTTAATGGTAAAAAAAGTGAAGTTTTTAGCTGCTATAACTAACACTTATCAGGAACTTTTTAGCAGTAAATCAAAATTTTCTGGTCCTCTTATAATGGGACATAATAAATCAAAAATTAATGAACAAATTCTTGCAGACATAACTTTCTATCCATTTAATTGTATGTTTTCAAACATAAAATTATTTGTATATGGAATAGGTGCATTTACAAAGGATCATCTAGATAATACAGGTCCAGGTTTCAAATCATCTTTTGTTTATTTGATTGGAGCCAAAAAAATAAAAACTTATTTGTTCAAGAAATTAATGAGAAGAACTCCAGTGTAAAAATGTATCAAAATTATAATTTGGTGTTCACATATATTGGTAATAGTCCTAATAATGTATGGGAGAAAGTTGGCATACTTTCACAGCATAAAGGAATAGATTTATTTAATCTTATATTCAAAAATTTCGTGTACCTAAATGTCTGCCTGAGGAATGGATTATAGAAGAAAAAATGAAACCTCTATGGGAATATCATTTACGACGATTCACACCATGGAATGAATTTTTTACTAAATGGTACCATGAAATGAAGACCATAATTGAAATTACTGCTGCTTTAAAAGCAATATATCCATCAACTCATTCATTTAATGAAAGAGAAATGCGAGCTTGGAGGACAATGTTGACTCATGCTGGATGTACAAATATAACACCTTTTAATAAAGGTGCATCACCAGTAAGTCATATATAAACAATGTATTTTTCATGCTTGAAATAAATTTCTATTACTCACTATTATTTATGCTGGTAGCATGAATTTTGGACAAAATCCAGCAATCCAGAAGCTGATTGCAATAATTTACAGTTTTTATATGATTCAGCATTTTTGAAACCAATTCCTAAACAGTATTGTAGTGATGGTGATGTTTTTTGGGATAGTTTTCAACAATCATTGCAAGCTAATGCAAAGGGATATAATGGAAAAAGAAGAATTCTATCTATAATAGCAGAAAAATTTCCATATAAAATTTTGACAGAGAAATTGAAAGTAAGTATTAGGATATAAAAATCAATCATCAATTAAAATTTATTTTTATAATTATAATAGGTGGCTTCTAATACAATTAATGAAGCAAAAAAATATGCACGAATTAATGGTCCTGGCTGTGCAGTAACTGAAAGACCTATTAGAAAAATCAAAAAAATTACTTATGAACAAGAAAATCAATTCAATTCTTTTTTTCAAGATAAAGCCCATGTTATAATGAGCTCTTATAAAACTGATGCCAAAACAGGAGAACCAGTAGTTTACCTAAAAAATACAAAAAGGGCATTATGGGAAAAATTTAAATATAGTTTTCCCAATGGCATTAAAAGAACAACTTTCTACACCAAGCTAATGGGTAATCAATATGTTTATCGTGAAGATCTTGGGGGCTTGTGTTCCATATGTAGCTCATATGGATATGAAACATTTGAAAACATTATGAACCTGATAAAAGAAAAAATAAATAATATGGAATTACAGGTATTAATTAAAATATATGAAATGTGATATATAATAATCCACTAAATAATATTTCAATTAAATTAAAGAATGCCTTCCACTTACGTTGCCAATCATTACAACAATACTTAAAAAAACAATATGAAGAACATTTAGTGGTTACAGATCATGGAATAACTTCCCATGACTTGTGCATAAATCATTGCCTATTATATGCCTTTGGTGAGTGTAATGTTCCTCATACCCATACCTGCAATAAATGTCAAGAAGTATTCAAGCTTTTTGAAGATTTAAAAACAAATCTGAATACTTATTATGATGAAATCCAAGAATATCAAGATCGCTTGCTTTATTATATTGCACACCAGACCAGGAAAGTCTATTTGAATGCACAATTTAATGCTTCACTTTTAGATCTGGATGAAGATGGGGCAGTATTAGTAGTAGACTATAAAATGAAAATACTACCCAAAACCTCACGTGAGACAAAACAAGATTTTTTTGGAAAAAAAGGCTGGACCTTACATACAGTCTTGTTGTATACCAAATCCAATGAAAGTTCTGAAATCAATGTGGAAGCAATAGATCATTGGTCTACTGATGCTCATCAGGATGCATGGTTTACTGCATCTTCATTGCATTCTGTAATAGAAAATTTGGAAATAAAGCCAAAATGGGTAAGTATAATCTCTGATAATGGCCCACACTATCATAACTCAGAACTCATGATTATAATGAGTAAATGGAATGAGTGGTATGGAATTCATGTAAAAAAATGGATATTCTTGGAAGCAGGAGAAGCCAAAACAGCAGTGGATTCTCACCATGCTCAGGTTTGAATTATAAAGTAAGAAAAGAATTCATTACCTTTAAATATTTCTAATGGTGATTTATTAGATATCACTTGCAATTAAACAATATGTTCGAGTTGGTGGAGAAATTCAGGAAGGAAATGATATTACTTCAGCTATTGAAAATACTGCTGGAACTTCAGTTGCTCATATTGAGCTCAATCATGGTAAATTTTTAATTATAAAAGATAAAAAAAAATATAAAGTGTTATTAGATGAAGTTAATAAATATTTATATTAGCTAATTACACCAAAAAAACAATAAAATTATACTTAGATAATAAAAAAGAAAAAGAAAAAACTATGACAATTCCTGGAATATCTAATTGGTTTGAATGGAATTGGCCCACAGAAGGTGAAAATGCAGGATATATTCAAGCACGAGGAATTCCAAATATTGGAAGGTGGACAACATTTTCTCCTGCACAAATTCAAAATATTACAAAAAATGAGATTAGTCAACCATCACCCCAAGTTTCTGAACCAACTAAACCAAAATCTCCTTGGAAAATACCTCTCCCACATGCATCAGGTAATTAAAGTATATCACTTGAATAACCCAAATTCATTTCTAAAAATTTTGTTGAAATATTAGGAATCTGTCCAAAAAAATTAGCATTGCCAGAATTAAAAAATGAGTTGACAAATCGAGGAATTGTATATGATAATCAAAATAAAAGGCAAAAGCTAATAGAAATGTTGGATAAAGAATTGAGTCAAGAAACTTTAGCAAATGTGGAAGGTAATAATATATGTTCATGATATTTTTAAATGTTGTAAAATTTTACTAACCTAGTTTTAGGCTTGCCTTTGAGAAATCGAAGCATGGTTCATCAGGAACAAGAAATAAGGTAAGATTAGACAAATAATATTTTTTTGTTTTATAATAATAATAGATATAATTAAATGCTTTACATATCACAGCCCATTAGAATCATCTGAGTTTCCACTAGTAGGTGGTTGGGCATTGAAAGAAGTCCAAAAATATGGGAAGAAGGGTGGTGGTAAACATATGCCAAAAAGAATCATTCTCATTTTAGAACAATGTTTTTTGACAGGAAATATTGATAAGAGTTACCGAATGAGTCCTCAAGAAATGCTGGATGTTTTGAAATCAAAAGTAGAAGAAGGAGAAATTGAGAATTCAGATTTACCAAAATTACCAACTATACAAGGATGGATAACTAGATATTCAGCACAGTTACGTGAGAAAAATGCCAAAACAACACTTGGAGTCAGTAATTGAAAAACTCCTATAAATTTACTTTATTATTTAAAAAATTTATATAATATATGTATTAGATTTAAAAAAAAATATATACCTTCAATAAAAAAATTTCTTTTAAATTTATATACATAAAATTTTTTAAATTTCGAATTTATATAATAAATTTAAGTGGGAATCCAGCTTGGCATCATATAGAAGTAAAAATAATTCATAGGAAAAATTTTTTAAAAATTGATATATTAAATCCTTGAGATTTTATGAACGTATTACAAGTATAATTGTTGTTTCTAAATCCATATATAGGAAGGTTACCTTAGGACTAAAACTTGGGCTTCGGAAAAAATCAATTAATGATCAGCAAAATTTAGCACCAAAATCGACTATTAATTTTCTCTACTTGTTTCACAGAACACGAATATTTTTTTTTAATTTCAAATAATTCAATTGATATTGATTAATATTTATTAATCATTAATCATTGAGAAATATGGTAATCAATGAATATTTCATTAAATTTATTAAATTAATCATGTATATTGATATATATATCTTTGGAAAATGAAAATAAATTTATTAAATAAATTAATCATATGTATATATATATATAAACATATAAATAAATTGATATATCTTTGGAAAATGAAAATAAATTTATTAAATAAATTAATCATATGTATATATATATATAAACATATAAATAAATTGATATATCTTTGGAAAATGAAAATAAATTTATTAAATAAATTAATCATATGTATATATATATATATATGTATAAACATATATCTTTGGAAAATGAAAATTGAGAAGTTATTTAGTGTCCACATTTGTTGTGATTTTTGATAACAATAAATAAAAATTTAATCTATTTTAATATTATTTAATTCCTGAAAAACATATTCAGGAATTCTTCTGTGGGATTTATATTTTTTAACAGCATACTCTGCTAATTTACCTGATATACCACCTTTGTATAAATCCATATATCGCCAAGACTTTCTGGCAAATTTTCTTACTGTAATTACATCTATTGAATCTAATGCTTCAGGTCCTGTCCTTTGTAATCCTTCCCATGTGTAGTCACATTTATTCCTAGTGTATTTTTTGGCTTCACCCCAATACCTTTCAATAAAGTTTAATTCACAGTGAAATTTAGGGTAAAAAATACACAAATGTCCTGATTCCAAAATTAATTCTTCTAAAGCTGATTTTTGGTTTTTGAAATCAGGCTGTAAGGACAGAATTCTTCTGGTGCAACAATCAACCCTGCCTTCATCCACAACTTTTCCTTTGCATAGCTTGCAATCAGCCAGCAAACCTTCTTTCCACAGGTTCCTTTCAACCAACACCTGTTTCATTCCTTTTGGTGTCCCATCTTCAAAAACCATGGATTGAAATATATTATTAGGTCCAAAAACAGTATCTTTCATTTTTGGCTGCTTACCTCCTGGGTTTAAATTCATTCTACTTGCCACAAGAGCATCTGATTTGTAAGAACCATGATTTGTTGAATTATCAAATGCAAAAAGAGCAGTACAATTTGAGAAAAGTGCTTCAAATATTGGAATAGCTTTAAGTTCTACCTGCTCAATTAAATGATCATTAGTCCAATACCCCTCATGATTTTTACCTGGTTTTAAAATAACTCTAGATTCTTCTGGAACATATGGGTTACTTGTAATTTGTTCTTCATTTAAATGTAATCTTCCATTCTTTTCAGTCAAAAATTCACTTACCATCATTGACCTACCATTACCCTTTTTTTTTAATGGCAACTCACCACTTTTAGCCCAAACTCCTCTCTTCCCATCATTTGAATAGAATATACACTCATCATGTGTCACCAAAATAATTTCCTTTTCATCAGGTTTAAGATCAGGTGAAATTGGCTCTAATGTTATATCATCATATTTGGTCATGAATTTTTCATATTCAAATATTTTTTCAAGAAATATTTTACGATATTCAACAACATCTGGTCTCTCATGTCCATCAAAATATAAACCCTGCTTATTCTTTTGAAAGAAATATCCCAAAATATTTAACCACCTAGTTGCTGATTTCACACTAATATCCTTTTTTTTGGTGATTCCATTCTCTACCAATAATTTTTGTTCCACAAAATTTTTAAACTTCAAAGGGGTAATTGTCCCTATCCACATGTGGCACTTTTCAGCAATATCTTCATCATCAATGATTCTGATAGTTTTTTGATGTTTTCCTTGTCTGCTAACTGGTAATTTATTATTTTTCAACCAAAATGATGCCCAACGTCTTATAATTCTGGATTTACCTGGATTACCTTCAATAAATATTATTTTAGCTGCTTCTATGCTAGCATTCATTTTCCCTCTTCCTTTGTTGTCCAATCTGTTTAAATATTCAAAAATTGCACGTTTCTTGTTATATTCCAATATGCTCATTTTGTTTTGGTTAGTAATAATATCATTCTTTAAAACTTCTATACCTTGAGTTTCCCACTCAATATCAGAATCATCAGAATTGTCTAAAACCTCTCTCCAATCACTTGGTAAATTGTTAGACTCTTGGCTTTTTTTTGGGAAAAATTGTGTAATCTTTGAACTCCCTTCTGCAGCTTTAGTGAATGAACCACTTGGTCCATATTTATCATAATAAGTAGATTTTGGAGTCTTACCCTTCATATACATACTTCTCTTTTGCTTTACTAACAGTGCATCATCAGTCCATTTTAACTCTATTGGCTTTTCAATTATTTTTTCAAAAAATTTTCTTTCTTGTTCTATATCTTCTTCTTCTTCCCAACCACTATCATCATCATCTCCCCATTCAACTTCGTTTTCAAGAACTTCTGAAAAATTGTCTTCACCCAATTCAACTTCATTTTCAAGAACTTTTTCTGAAAAATTGTCTTTGCCCAATTCAATTTCTTTTTCAAGAACTTCTTCCAAAAAATTATCTTTGTCTGGCTCAGCTTCATTCCCAAGAGTGCTTTCTGAAAAATAATCTTTAGTTATTCAATTTAAGAGTTTCTTCATTCACCAATTCAATCTCATTTTCCCTGAAAAATCATTACCTGTGTCACCAGAATGCGAATTGGACCTTAATTCGCTGATCAATAACCCTGAAAATCTGGAGTAATATTTTATATCTTATTTTTATATGGGGCATACTGCAACAAAACCAGACAAAGTGAATATTAATAGCAATAATTATGATGATTTTTTATTAACCAATACACAATTTACAATTATTTCATGATATTATAATGCAAATAAGGAGTAAAATCGTCTTCACTGGTGTAATATAGTACCTGACATTACAAATGCCTCCACTATTAAATTCTATTAATAATTTTTTTTTGATAAAAAGATCTTGATTTGTTGTTATTTCATGATACTATAAACGCAAATAAGGAGTAAAATCGTCTTCAGCTGGTGTAATATAGTACCTGACATTACAAATGCCTCCACTATTAAATTCTATTAATAGATTTTTTTTTGATAAAAAGATCTTGATTTGTTGTTGTGAAAATATTGTTAATTTTATCAAATCTTTAATTAGAAATAAACTAGAAACAGGTCTTGTAACCTTTATTTCTATTTTGTTATTTTCAGCCTATACAATAAACAAAAATATTTTAGATATGTGAATATTCTAAAAAATGATTAAAAATCAATAAAAATGATTACATTATCTGCGGTGTGGGTTGGATTCAACTTTATTTTACTATCTATGTTGCTCCAATAACTACTTTTTGCAACAAATTGGATCATATCTTCATTAATTTTTATTTTTACTTATTTAAAAAAAAAGTATCTTAATTAATAATAGTAATAATATTCACAACAAAATAAATTATATAATAATAAAAATTACCAAAATCGGCACTAATGATTGTCATATCATGAAAAATTTTTTGGAATTCTGCTGACGGCAAAGATGCCATTGCGTCATAATTTTTCATGACAAAATGACTTCTGTATTTTTGGATATACGTACTCAATGTCATGTCATGTTTATCGAGAACATATTCATTATTATCGAATTTTATTTTCCATATCATATCGCCATTCATTAATGCATTTAGTCTACTTGTAGTTTTACCCTAGCGCAATTGCATACAAACCTAATCCCCTTCAATAAGTGCACCAATGGATTCAAATAATTGCTTGATTGACCTTGGAACATGTAATGGTGTGATTGTTCCAGCCT